TTTTACACAGCTTAAGTTGATATGTGAAACCTAATTGAATGAACACACAGTATCTTTTTCTCTTACTTTGATTTCTTCTTTCTTTCTTTCTTCGATATGTTTTTTTTTTTAATTTTTTCTTTATGTGTGTTACGGCATAACTCCGCCGCTAGTGGACCGATTTTGATAATTCATTTTTTATCCGAAAGGTAATGCTTGCAGGTAGGTCCCATTTTTTTGTTTGATTTTTGGAGTCAAAGACTACGACGTAGTTAAATAGTTTAGCTCAAAATCGCGCGACGAAATTTCGGGTCATTTTTGCTTTCTTTGCTTATGTCTGTGTCAAAACAAACGTATCACTAGATTTATTTTACTCGTTTAGATTGGTAAATGGGTTGTTAAGTGTGTGCTGATATAAACATTACAGGTGTATGTAACCATTACACAAAGATAACGACAATATTATGCTTACAAATTTCCTTAACACGACGCAGAAACTGGTAATAGAACACTTAATGCAAATTGTTGCCATTATCTTAGAGTGTTGATCGTAATTGGCTATGAACGCTTACACGGAATATGGAACGGATAAAGGAATGGGAATGACACTTCAAATCACACGAAACAAACAAATGAAAATCTTTAGTTCATTATTTTTTAAAGTACAAAGTTCCAAACAGATGAACGACAACCTTAATAACCGAAATAAGCTAGTAAGTTTCAGATTCGTTAGGCTTAATGAACAGGTACACTATGAACGTAAAAGTTTCCCATTCATGTACATCTTAGAAAATGTGAAGGAGGCCTTGCGAAAGTCACTCTTTAAAAAATGCAAAAGAAAGTCAATGTATGAAAAAGGACGTACAAATAATGTTAAAGTACGTAAACTTAGGAGCATATCTATATTTTTGACCGACTTTCCAAAAGAAGTAGATACTCAATTCGTCTGTATATTTTTTTGTTCGTAACGTGGTTTAAAGATATTTACTATGCACTAGTTTAGTTAGTAATTACTCCATGGATGCTATTTTTAAGTAATAGTTTTTGGGCTTCTAAAGTTAACATGATCCTCTTATTTCATTATTTAATCTAAGGATAAAAAGTTAGAAAATTCTAACTGTCGTTTGTAAGCCTATCTAAAAATGAAAAGATTTAAAATCCGTAGCACCAAATGCTTTATTAGAGGCAAGTCATATAATTAAGGAAAGTTTGCGGCAATTTAAATTGTTCCCAGCCCCAACTTGTGCATACTTTTATACCAAGTTCAAATTAGATAAGTTGAAAAGGAATGACTTAAGTGTTTTCGCGTTAAGTAAAAAATTTAAGAATAAAAACAATGTTTTGGCAACGAATGTAAGATTATGCAAAATATAAAAAATTTACCCTTTACCTGACAGTGACAGTTTTTAAATACGTGTGAAAAATGTAAAAAAAGGTACTCTCTACTGAAAATTGTTCTAAGAAACAATATTTATAACGCCTATAATAGAACCCATAAAGTGAAAAATAATTGGATTCCTGCCAGACGACATTTTCTCATATAACGTCACGGAAAGAAAAATTGACGGGAGAAAGAACAGGGAAACAAGAGACGTAGCTACGAAGAGAAAATAAATGTTATTTTACACAACAAATTAAAACTTTTTAAAACCATTTAAGACATCTCGTTCATTTTCCAAAGATTATTCATCTTTAGGTTAATGACAAATGTTTAAAAAGAAGGCTGCTGGGAATGAACCCTACAATATTCTAAATGTACTTTCTTTTTTTATTCTACTGAAAAATTAAGGAAATTTTTATTTAGTATATAATGAAAAATCAAATTTAAATACATTGATACACTAAGAATGGAAAGGGGACTTACATTTAGCGGGGATAGGACTCATAGATAGAGGAAAAAAACCCTCTTTCTGTGCGTGCCCTCCGTTTTATTAAGACAACACAAAAGCGAACATCTATGTTCGGCTGTCTCTTAGATATTGTGAGGAATCCGGTACCCGCTTACTCCTTTATCACCTTATAACATTAAAAAGAAACAAAAAAGAGAACGAAATACGCTTTTATCAAAGCCATTGAGTATAAAAACTCGTTGTTGATTTATATTTTCCAAATCGGCAAACGAAATTGGACAGCATATTTTCAAGCGATAAAAGTTTTTGATGTGGATTTATAACTGCGTTGTATTCGATTACTTCTGACATATTACCACTCGACGACTTGCGTTTGGAATTATCTGGTCATATGAAAAAATCTCTTCTTTTCAACACTGTTGTAATATACCAGTTAGAGTATAATTTATTTAGAGGTACTAGTTGAAAATGACTAACTTTCATTGATCATAAGTTACTTTTGAAAGCAGGAATCAGTTTCCCAAAATTAAAAACGTAACAACTCTTACATATGTTACATGCAATTCTTCAAATTGTAATACTATATTCGACATAAAAGTAAGTTAAAAAAAATTGTACAGCACTGTCGAATATTCCTTAGAGAAATCATATTTTCAGCTTCGTGAAATTTCCAATATTTTACCTAAAAGGAATGGAAAAAATGTGACTAAAACACATTTATCAAGTTGTCATTAACAGACATGTCACCGGAGACTGAATTATTTTTACACTTTTTTCATAATTTACAAATAACTAAATATTACATACATATGCAAGGAAAATACATTTATAGAGACTTTTACCTTTCTCGATATTATGGTAAAGAATAATAAAACTCTTTTACATTGTATAACATTTTACCTGACTTGTTTACGTTATTTTCACAGAGAGAGAAAGAGAAAGACAGAGACACAATCAACATTTCCGTTATACATTAACAAGTCAACATTTATTGTTAAACTCTCTTACTCTGAATTAGATCGGTCCCTCGCCGAGCCTATGTAGATCCTTACATCTGCAGAGCTTTGTACACATATTATTCACTTCTTAATGAGTTTTCTGATTAAATATTAAAACAAGTTGCAAATTGTTCCAGTGGGACGCATCCGTGCAGCGGGCAAATCGTTTTGTTTTACGTTTATGAAAACAAAATTACTTCGTTTATGAAAAAAAAATTACTTTAAAAATACAACGGGTCACAATAAAACTTACAACTTTGGGAAATGGCCACTCTTGTATTTCATACTAGCTGTTGCCTGCGACTTCATTAACGCAAAATTAAGATAAAAAGAAGCATGTAATAAGTCTATGTTAGCTACCCTTCAGTGATAGTCGTTTCATAGATTACCCGGAAGAAACGCGGCTTGCGGACAGACAGACAAAATAAATTTAAATGCGATTTTCGTCATCAGCAACGCAAATATATCAACTTCCTGAAATCTGCAGTGTTTCTTTTTATGTTACAAACAGACAATCCAATTTTATTATATGTAAAGATAGGATATGATGTTTTAACAACATACTGACTAAACATACTTAAACCACGGTATTTTGTCATTATGATATCAACTTAATCCTCTTTTTGATATCTAAATGCTATAGATTTTCTTTTACCGCTAGCAAAAATATCGTGTTAGTTTGATTTATTTTCAAACGTGATGTTTGAAATTGGGCAATACATTACTCTTTCCTACGATGGTTTGATGTTGATATATGCCAAAAATTATTACGTTTTCTGAATTTACGTGTATCGCTATACAATTTATTGTTATATTATAAGCTGGTGTACACCTTTGACTGAACTATCGCATAACTGTTGTGCGATTGTCTATTGTTTCGCAGTCAATTCAACTGTTTAGTTACACAACTAAAAATCGGGTAGTGTGCGCACCTCCACTTAAGCTTTTTGGTAGTAAAGCGCGACTTAAACGTAATGAAATGTAATGCGATAGTTTCGCAAAGTAATAGAATTCGCAAAATAATTGAGATTTAAATCCATTAACCGATAGAATAGAAATAGTGGTAAAATATTAAGGATTGCTTAGAAGACGCTGTCAATGTATCCAAGATTGCCTTTCGTTATGTCCAAAGTTTCGTATATATGGATTAACAAAAATACTCAACTGTTTCCTTGCATTGTTACGTTACAAATGAAGTCTTTTGTAAAGAGGATTCCAACGGCTTATCCAAATACACCTCTAACAACTACGAAGGTGCAATAAATTGAATAACTCACCTTCTAACCAACAACTTTCTTACAACATTAGTCAGAATTAGGGCCTGTCTCACCAAATTGGAAATTGTCTGATAACAATCCAATGTGTAAAATATGGAAATATCGGATTTTGTTCCTTTATCTGACAATTTTAACTCTATCTGAGTCTATCAGCCAGTGGTAGGACAGGCACTTAGTGTTGAATTGTAATCATGTCGAGTCCAGTAACAGTTAAAGTCTAAGTGACATTCTCGAACTGCTTCCAGTAACTTCGATTGTAACTACTAAAGCTAGGATTTCTAACTAATGTCAAAGTAAGTTGAAACGTCAAGCATTTCATTTTAATTATAACTTGGAGCAGAATATTTAAAAGACGACATACTATATATGTTTAAAATGTTTTGATAATAAATGCGAGATTTTTTTATAAAAGTACTTTTTGTCAGCGTCATAAATTATCCTAAAGTGTCTCTAAAAGTCTTTAATATTTTATAAGCCACAAACACGAGAATGCTTTTTTAAAATCCACTTGTAATGTTGATGCGTGTTAGATTCATCCGCTAGAGGCAATGTCAAATTTAAATCTTTGTTTCAATGGAAAAAATTATGAAAATCAGAAAAAGTTCTTACTATATTTATTTCTAAAGCATCTAATCATCCTCACACTCAACGACTCTTGATTAAATTGATTCGGATTTTTTATTAAAAAAATGTGTTTTACATACTTATATCGGGTTAAATATTTCTTACAGATAGTTTTAGGATCCTTTTTATACAGATGTAATGACTGCCAAATGTATATTCTGAATAAACTCTTGTTAATATGTTAACTTGAAATATAAGGTTCAAATAAAACTAATTTTGTATATATGAACAGTTTATTGATATTAAAATTGTATTTATCATAATACTTAACATTAATTGTATAAAATGGCGCACAGCGCTAACGTAAAAATTACAATTCCAGGAATCAAACATGTTCCCCTCCCCTGGTGTAGTTCTGCCAAGCTTTCCCCTGGAACAGAAATATATCTTCACAAAAGATAATTAGCTAGTAATAAAATTATGTATGGCCGTAGAACAAAAACAATATTTGTTTGAAAATATTACTAGCTTTCGCCCGCGACTCCGTCCTCCAGGAATTATGAAAGAAAACAAAAGTACGTAGCCTATGAGTTTTTCCAGGCCATTCTCTACATCTATTTCAAATGTCATCATCATCCGGTCAGGAGTGTAGACTACAAACTCTAATAAACAAACATCCATCCATCTATCTGTACTTTCGCATTTATAATATAGTAAGTAAGATTTAAACAAACCTTATTTAATAAGGCGATTTCTTTAAAGAAATTTTAGGGAAAGACATGAAAAAGGATCATTATGATGATCTGGTTGATCACCTTTGATGATGTGTAAGATGACGGTAGCGGGAGGAGGCGCTGGCGGCGGAGCGCGCGCCACACTGCACGAGTAGCGGCCGGCGTCATCCGCGCGCACGCGGGCCACGCGCAACACAGAATTCGCACCATTAGCGCCAAACTCCGTGCGAACACTGAACACGCATAAAAATTTACATTTAACCATGTATTTACGTATTAAAATAGTGTTTGAGCGTTCTGAAAAAAGCTTATGCAAAGTTTAAGTTTATCTTTCTTTTCTTAACAAATTTTACGTAACTTAAATTCAATTATAAAAGTGTAAACATAGTAACTTAATTAAGTACAGAAATGTAAACTTATGAAATATGGTAATGTTTTAGTTGTTAAGAGTCCAATATTATACGCCCTTGTGTGGGCAACGTTCCTGGGATTAAAAACAAACAATGGAGTGTACTTCATAACACCCGTGGGGTGCGGTCCACCTGATACAAAGAAAAGATAAATATCCAAACAAAAGAAAGCAATAATGATTTCCATTTAAATGGGTATAGAAAAAGGAAAGCTGGATTGCATACCCTAGGGATGGCTATTCATAGATGAAAAGTAGGTTACGAGATAGGTGGGAGGAAACAAGTCAATTTTGTATTGTATATTTGTTTTAAAATATCGGATAAATTGCTTATTAAAAAAAGTTACTATTTATCATAAGTATTTATATGTGTATTATAAGTATTTAGATTTACTGGGGAATCAACCTATTATTAATAAAGAGGTATTATTTGTTTCGTATAGAGGCAGAGGGATACGGAATTTTTTACAAATGTCATCTCATAAAATAGAATTAATAAAATTAATAATAATTAAAAAATATAATTTTGTATGGTTTCATGCGATACTTAATTTTTTTTTAATTTTTTTTTGTTGTTAAAAGGTAACTGAAAGGGAAGGCATTGGCTCCTTAAACACAGGAATTCCTAGTTAAGGAGCCAAAGCAATATTGATCCTTCAATCAATGATTGACAATAAAGAATCTTCATTATATTATTATTAAAAGAAGAAAACAAACCTTATGCCACCTCTAGTAGTGTCATCGTTTAGTAGATACTCCCTCCGGTACCAGAGCAGCGAGGGTCCGCCTTCCATACGAAGACCGCGCACCTCGCACCGCAGCGCCACCGTACTCCCAAGCTCGCAAACTTGCTCTGTTACTGACGCACCCGCACCATCCACGATGCGAACTGATACCTCTACACAAAAGTATACCTTCAGGTCAGGACAGTAGGTTTCCATACCTCCACTAAAAAGTATGCATTTATTTCCCTATCCCCAGTTGTATGTATATCAAATGACTCAGGCCATTTACTCTCACGATTTAAATCAGAAAAAAATAAATTTTCTTAGTTCTTAGCTAGACGTATTGTATTTTGCATTGTCAATTCGATATTGGTCCATTTTCAGTCCTCAGCTCATGACCCTTAGGTCTTATATGGCCTATGTGCATTTGAAAAGATGGGTTATATGCCTATCAATTTACCTACATAGGCTTTACATAGATAAGTAGATATGTAGATATAATAAACATAGCTTAAGTTTTTCTTACATGAATTATATGAATCGTTATTGTTATCAAACATACCTGGCACTAATAATGTGACGCGCGCAGTCCGAGGCGGGTGGGCAGATAATTGACAGTCGTAATGAGCGGCGTCAGTTGGACGAACCTCTCGCACCTCCAGACGCCAAATATCGGGAGGGATAAAGCGGGCGGAATATCTAGGAGGATAATTGATTTTAAGCAAGCAAGTTTGCATGAATAGAAGTTTGTTACTAGATATCTCCAAAACAACTAAAGTAATCTCTCTGATTTGATACAGATTTCGATCATAGCGGGACAGCTCATAGGCTACTTACTATGCCTTTTTTTTTTCTCCGTGCACGAAGAAGCGGACAAAGACTAGTCAATAGATAAAGATTGCTTAGTGTACGTAAATTGTAATTCTATTGTAAAAGAATTAGGGCCAAGATACACAGAAAACTACAAGTAGTTGACGTGCTGTGGTGTATGGCCATCCTTAAATTATTCAGATTAACTAATCGACAATTTAACTATAAAGTATAGTATTTGTGTAAGAAATTATTATGTTCCGTATAACGTATATTCATCCGAATTCAATTAAATTACATATGGTTCGTTTGTGGCATTTATTTCGTTAAGCATATTCAAAATTAAAGTCTCCTTTACTGAACGCATTAGTCTCGGATTAAATGAGTGAAATATGTAAATGACGTATTCCATCCTTTTAATTCCGGGTCGGGAATGTCTGAGCCCATTAAGTCCTCGACGTTCTTTTTATAAGGGTAAATGCAGTAAAAAATAAAATAAAAAAACCTTATAAAACACCCCAAAAGATAACGTTCCAAAATGTACTTTCTTGACAACTGAATAAACAATGTTATGACCTGCTCAAAGTTGCCGTGACAAGTTCAACTGCCCTTAATATTACGATAGGGTCCGTTTTCTTGAGTCCATTTTATTTATTCGGGACAGACGGGATCAATTTTATTTTCATGGTAAATGCCACAAAAAGTAACAAGAACTTATATTCTTAGTTTAAATTTAATATAAACGTTTGTATTTTTATGCAGGTCACACATAATTAGCGTAACCGTTACACACGTTATGGGGTGAGCATGAATGGCGAATACCGTCATAACCTAACATGTGTAGCCTAAATTATTGTAATGTTACTTTTAAACTAATTACATGATAAAAAATTACCTGTAACTATAGCTTTATTATTTTTATTCTAATGTTATAACAAACTCACCTTTTATCAGCTGTATATAGTTGAGTGCCAGTTGTTAAGAGCTCCATCGGCTCTTCGTCATTTTTTCGCCGCACCCAGGATACCTAATAAAATATTGATAATTTTTAAACATTAAGGCCCTGTCCCACAACTGGTTAATAGAGGCTCAGGTAGCTTAAGTGACGTCACTGTGAGATAAATCCGATATTTCCATCACTTATTTTACTAATTGTTATCAGACAATTTACAATTTGGTAGGACTGACACTTAACTTTTGCAGATAAACTATGGTATTTTTCTAAGTAAATTTCTTTCCTTTTTTATTAGTAAGAGTAATTTATCAAAAAAATAATCAAACCGCGATTTGAAGTACATTTTACGAGTATATAGTGCGGAAAATACGCCGACCTACATTACTGTAGGCAGATTATTCGCATACTCTATGCAGTGTAATGTATATTTATTGACTTCATAACGATTCCAGCGTTTATTAGTGCATCTTGATTATATTTATTATAGTACTGCGGAAGAGCGGGCTTTTAGCGTGTCTATTAATTTTCCTGTTTGCATACATCACAAATTATAATAGATTTTAATTATTAATCAGCATTGCACAACGTAAATAATTAAAAGCATAAAAATACTATTTCTAACCTAACAGTGAGTGGGATAGAGGATAAAAGTTTGTATTGCGTAGGAAGCCCCACCTACACACGTCTTCATCCGATTCATCACTTTAGATATCTTGCGACACTTTGCTATTTTAAGTCCAGTATATTTTTATACAAAAATCTTGGACAGAGAATCAAATTACATGAAATTAATTGTTACTCGCAACTTCTTCCGCGTATTTATATGTTACTCACAGATAAATTACCTTTATAACGGTGAAAGAATTTTTGAAATCGGCCCAGTAGTTTTTGAGTTATTTCAAAATATAGAAACGTACAGATCTTTCCTCTTTATAATATTAGTATACATAAAGTAAGTCTGATACAGCTGCCAATATGTCGTATTCCTCCATAGTTAAAAAGAGATATATTTCTTGAATAATTAATTCAACCATTAAGTTAATTCTCAAGACTAAGTTGGTATAACAATGTAAATTAATGAAGTGAAAATAATTTAATCTCGTAAGGCGAACGGCACAATAAATCTACATTCATTACCAGTTTATCGTGTAGCGCATCCACTTTGCAGTCGAGGTGCGCGGTGGAGCCAACTAGCGCCTCCATTTCTGGCGCGGCCGCCGCGTAGATACTGTTTCCGTTGCCCGGCCTGAAACGTCAGCATTGTTTATTTGTTTGTTCAAGACCTTAACTTATTTCCAATTACATTTTTATAATTCAAACTAAATTACGTAACCTATTACTCTTACTTTTGAAATCTTGAATGACATTTAAACAAATGACAGCGTCTTATAACCAGTTATTCAAATACATTTCACCATTCGTTAATGTTTTTGGTTCGATAAATTGATGAAATGCGTTTCTGAACTACGTAACTTGAGTTTTACTTCTTTGAAATTTAATCTAACCTAACACTAATAATTAACTAGGTTATGATAAATTAAATAGAAATTTTAGCAACACAGCATTAATAATGAGTTTGTTCTTAAACTCCTAATTTAGTTAGAATTTTGACATCTATCAAATTGTAAGCGGGTCTCACGAAACGAAGTGTTAAAGATTCGTTTTATTATTCGGTCGTTAGTAGTAGACTATAAAACATTCTCGTGTTAGCTGTTCAAAGTCTGAATTAAACGCACCATATGCTATTACTAAGCCGTTATCGGATATCTCGTAAATCAGCTCATGAAACTCCAATTAACAAATTAACTGGCTGGTTCCGGCGTCAGGGATTACACTCAAGTTGCTCCTCCAACTAAAGACGAACACCCAGCTTACAGACTTATACAAGCTTAAGTTATAAACTTCTAGGCTTTGCCTGCGGAACACGGATAAATTTCACTATTACTCGATAATAAAAGTGGCTAACTTATATACTGATATCTCGTCTTTGTAACATCCTAAGGCTTAAACACGGTATTTATAGAATTGTTATTTATTACACAACATACGATGCAATATTGAAAAGACATTAAAATATGTAACAACATATTTAATTATAAGGCTATGCTTAAACTCCAAATTCCATTAAATTTTTGACATCTGTTAGATTCTAAGAGCGGGGACACAGCTTGACTAAACTATCGCAAAGCTGTTGGACGATTATCGATTGTCGTTTGTTTCACAGCCAATTCAACACACACACAAAAAACAACTAAAAATCGTGTAATCTGCGCACTCTATAAACTCATAGAAAACAATGCGTGACTAAAAAAAACTTGTAATAGGAAGAAAATATGAAAGTATGTGTTATATATATATATATATAAATAGAAAAAGAATACAAAAAAAAATAATAAAAAAAAATACAAGGTAAAAAACTAGAAAAAAAAACTACAAAGATAACAAGGTTGCTGCAAAAAACATAGCACAGGAAATAAAGAAAAAGAAATGCGGGACTACACAGTTACGCGATAGTTTAGTGAAGGGTATCCACGCTCTAACAGTACCTACGAAGAGAAGTGATATATTCGTTTCAGTATTCGACCATAATAATATTGAAGCCGTTGAGTTATAGTTAAATGATTAATTTACTTACTTTTCATTCCTATGTTGATGTGTATTTGAATAAGTGTCGAATATATAGTTTAAGAGTGGCGCATTGGACCCAACTTCTCCTATTTTACGTCGTCTTTCCATCACTGGCGTGTTTATCATTGGTACAGCCGTAGCAGCATAATATCCGTTATTAAGAAAATCTTCTGTTCGTGTTTCATTAACTCGCCTTTTCCTGAATTTCTTATGATCTTTAGTGATATTAACTTCGTGTGCAGCTTCCGTGTGTTTGTTTGCAGTAAATTGTGAAGGTAAGGAATCGTTAAAGCAGCATTTAACCTGTTTATCGCTCGGTGGAGAATGTTCAAGTTGGTTATAGGACTTAAGAGTTGGTATAATGTCGAGATTAGAAAAGTTTGTGTTAGCAAGGAGTTTAGTCTGATTATGCGAATCCGGGCCACGGTACAGCATTTGATAAAGTTGGTTTATTGTTGGCTGCGAGCCTGCTTCGCGTGTTTCCTTCAAAATTGTTAATGTCGCGTCGGCCTCGGTCCCTAGGAGAGATAAGTACTTTAGTAATGTACGTAGTTTTCCATATTTATTTCATTATTTACTGACAGCTGCTAATTTAATAAAGTATTATGTATTCTTAAACTTAAGCATTGATCAATTTATTTATTTTGTATTATAAAACCAAAACATATCGTGTTAATTAGACATACTTTAACCAGCTTGAAGTTATTTATATCATAATTAATATAGAATTTAATTAGAAGTTTCGCATAAAGGTAAGTTACCTCGAGTCGGCAGAACAGATAGTGCGCCCAACAATAGAGCCGCGGTGGCTGACGCGCACATTGCTTCTACATTGCTGAAGGCGCTGAAACAAAATACTTCATCAACATCTCCCCTACCTTATCCTATTCCTGTAGGGTCGGCGCACCGAGTTTTCGTTCTCGAAATAACAATATCATCTCAGTCACCACTCCCTTATTCTACACTCATAACTAATGTCCTTAATACATACGATTCATCCCTCCTCATAACATGCCCGTGTTAACTTTTACTCCTTAATTTCTCAACTACTACTATTCTCAAACATTTTTATTTGGATTCCTAAATCAAGGACTTTTTTACTTAATTATGAACGAATTTTTGTTCAACCATAAAAATTATGCTTAATTAGGGATGTATTGTAATCTATAAAGAACAAAATATTAAACTGTAAAAGGTCATACATATGTGTTCATGTTACATATTTCGTAAATCATGAATTGTACGTTGTCATTCTCATATATTCAAAGTCTTGCAAGCTAGTTCCACATTTTCATGAAATGGTATAAAATGCTCACTTGACACTTTCAAACTTTCGTACAAGAATAACTTGACTGCAATTTTACGCCAGCGCCAATGAAAATCTTGAATCTTAAGTGCTTATTCGCAAAATAGTTTAAACTCTTTGTGATGTTACGAGTATAATATGGTTGTGAGTAATTTAATATACTCAGAAATATTGCAGTATGATAATATCAAGAATTAACAATCAAACCGTCTTTTACATTTTACAACGATTATGTTAAAAAATAATTTTTTTGAACAAATTTTGAATGGACATGAGCGTGCAATGCTTAGTTCCCTTTTTAATTGTTAAACTTTTATAAGCTTATCTAAATAATCTTTAAAAAGTTCCAAATAGGACAATAAAATATTTTTTTTATAACATAAGGCGGCAAACGAGTGAGCGGTCACCAGAATCCGCTAAACAATATTTAAACTATCTTTTATTAAAAATGATTTCATTATTCGCTAAGTAAACTTATTTAATTTTTTTCTATATTATCAAGATTAATCAATTCTCAATTTGACCGCCATTACAGATTCGTACTTAAAGCAATTAAGCGCTTTCGGTCGCTTCATAGACAAAATGTCAGAAGCAGAACGATCTGAAGTGGGCAAGGAATTCTACGGTTTACCTAACTTATTGAATTTAATGAAATATTATGGAAATTGACAGCACCATTTAAATATTCATTTTCGTTAATATTTTACAAAAATCATCCATGAAAAGTATTAACAAACAAACACTAAAATTATCAAAGTGATTTATCTATACTATTAAAATAAAGCGTAAACACACACTTCTTTGTTTCCTAAGATGTCAGCAATTACAGCATATTTTTGAATAATTATTTTTATAATAAAAAGCCCTACACTTACTTCACGCTTTAGGCTATATGTTTTAACGCTATTGAACTTTGCTGGTAATTAATTTGGATAAAAGTCCTAATGTAGGAAAGAGACCATAAGTTGCTGCCATCATCAAGAAAGAAAGATTGCTAAGGTTTGTCATGTCATATCATTTTGACATTTGCTATTGATAATTTGACAAATGTAAACAATAAAATAAAATTTTCATAATTTCATACCCATGAAATCGCACATATATTACACAAATAATCTTATATTATATACATCCAAAAGATATACATACATACGGGGTCTACATGACGTAACTCGTAGACCTATCAAATACCACTTTGGGTTTGAAAAACTTCAATGAACGCCTTCCCGCTTAAAACCACAGAGCATTATGCCTTCTGCTCCGTAAGGAATAATGTGCAACGTTATATTATAAAGAGAACCGATTTGCATTTTTGAATTTTTGTATGTATTGAAATAACTCGAGAACTACTGAGCCGATTTAAAAAAATCATTCACCATTAAAAAGCTACGTTATCACTGAGTAACATATGCTATATCCTTTTATCGTCTTTTAATTTCAGGCGGACGAAGTTTGGAACAACAGGTAGTAATGTACAAAATCAGAATAGGGACGAATCTATTTTATTTAAGTCAGTATGGAGTGAAATTTATTCGAGGAATGTCACGATATTTCATTTTGAAGTGAAATAATGTCGAATCAAATGAAACAATAATTTGTAAATTAACACAAACAAAGAAACTAATTAATTGTATGTGTATTTATAATCGGGTTCAATTTGATTTCCAATCATTTCAATGACAATTTAGTTTTATTGGAAATAAAATCATGTGGAATTAATTTTGCGTTTAATCAAATATTTCGTGATCAAAATTTGCTTGTTTCATTTTTAGCAATAAATCTTATATCTTTATATTTTTGTAGCTTAGTTCAAAAAGGTACATTTATTCTGGATTAACCTCTCGATTAACGTAGTCTTACACGAGACGTGTCACTTTAATCTTACGTCACGACCAACCTTATATAACCTCAAAAAAAAGAATTAGTAAAAAAAATAAAAAATTAACAAAGAGATAACTAAATAAGTATGTTTCATTATCATAATGAAAACTATATTAACGCAACAGTGGTATATAGTATTTTCACAATTAACATAGTTAAATAAAAACTAATAGTACCAATAAAACTTTAACAATGTTCCTAAGGGAGTTTAGTACTGAGATTGGATTAACAATTGGGTTAGGTAATAGGCTGATACTGCGTCCCAACGGTATTGAAACAAAGGCCTGAAAGGAGAGCCTAATCAAATCGACTCGGTACAAACTTTGTCTTTAACTGTCAACTTTTTCAACATTGGCGATAATTAGAATTTATAGCTTTTGAAGTAACAAATTTTAATAAATCAACAACTTCTGTAATCTTCGATGTTAGCATCAAACAAGTGCTTTATTAAAAAAGGAAGGTAATCTTACTATTAGGTTATTTACTAATTATCAATCTGAAACGTTTTAAGATAAATAAATGATGGGAAATAAATAAATCGGTGTAATATCTTTGCGTAGAAACATTAAACATTATTAGTAACAATTATTACTTCTCTTATAATTGTAATTGCTAAATTATTTAAACACTTGCTGTTGCTTGCGACTTCGCCCGTGCGAAATTAAAAAATAATTAATTATAGCCTTTACTCACTGATAACGTAGCTTTTTAATGGTTAAATTTTTTTGCAATCAGCCCAGTAGCTTTTAAGTTATTTTAATGTATATAAAAATAAAAATCTTTTCTCTTCAAAATATTCGTATTACTATTGTTTTAAAATAGTTAAATCATAGTTTTACGATTTCTATTCTCATTCTTTTACTTAGGACAAAAACTTTGGACTATCTTGAGTGTCGTATAAGGAAAGATAGAGAACTGGGTTTAACTTTTCTCTACCCATAGAGGTCCTCATATCCCTATTGAGGCTAAAATAAACTCGACGCATAATTTGAATGAACGATTTAGGTACCAAGGGAAAATGTAAAATTTTTTACAGGTCTGAAAGAAAAAAATGATTACATATTCTTGCATTTACTAAAGGTTATATGGATACAGATGGGCCACGCCTAATCAAGCCTGAAAATATGTCAGTTTTAATATATCTTTAACCCCGACACTATAGTATTACAGTAGAAACTCGATAACTCAAACCTCGATAACTTAAAAACCTCTATAACATCAAAAAATAATATGTTCCCTTACCATCAGAGCCCAAAACCTCTATAACATAGACCCTTGATAACTTAAAACCTCTATAACTTAAAATATTTCGTGTTTCCCTTGCACTTTAACTTATCGAGGTTCTACTATATTACAGATTAATTAAAACTAGAAGTTTACGGTACTCTGCACTTTCTGTTTCAAAGCTCACCTCCAACTGTATTGTTTTCCGGTCTGTAGTAGTGTTAGCTCCGTAAGTTAATATTTAGATATATGTTCTATTTTTTTGGTAAAAATAATTACGTCTAAACCATAGAATTAAATGTAAGTTTCTATACCCGTTACAAATATTTTATCTAATAATCCTTTCTTTTATATTATTTCACATGTAAATTTAACATTTTACTAATTTTTTTTTCATTAAAGCAAATATGTACTTCGATTATTTATTTTCTATACAATCAAATTCCATAAAAATAAAAAAAATAAACTCACCGTTTTTAAACATTCCTCAAATTACATAACACTCGAAACAAATTAATGTCACTTATTATTTTCAATAATAATACGACAACTTTTGCCGCGTTTCCTGTGCACGGTAGCGTGTAGTCGACACAAATGGGCAAGTGCTACTGCCGTAGCGCTACGCTTCGAGTCTGCTACACTTGTAGGCTGCTACGCCTGTAGCGGCTACGACAGGCCGCCATGGTTGTATTGTTAAAAACAAAGGAATAACAGAGTACATGAGATTAAAATGGCATTAAAAGCTTTATATCTGATTTTATTTTTTTAATTTCTATTGTTAACGATAAAAATCTTAACGACAGTCTGTTAATTTGTACATCTTAATGACTAATTTATATTCAAATTTAGTTAACTTGTACGAAAGTTGACCAGCCAGACGTATAACTACTTACATTTTCAAATGCAAATATAACCGTATATCCGTACTATCAGACAGATTAGAAGTTTTTTTATTCGTAAAAATAAATCGTAATTTATTACTTTCAGGAATTAAATCTGTAATTTGAGGCTTGTGTTTATCAGAACACGGTTCATTTTCGTGTATTAAATCTACGTTATCATGCGTAGGTACGGCATTAAGCCGAGATACTTCTAAGCCATTAACTTCGGGAGTGCCCACGTTCGCTATGTTTTTATTCCTAATGTTGCTTCATATAAAAAATCTATAAAACATATATCTAATAAAGATTTAAAAATAGTATAATACTAGCTGTTCCCTTGCGAATTCAAAATTATGAAAATTTTATTTTATTGTTTACATGTGTCAAATTAACAATTGCAACTGTCAAAATGACATGACGATGACGATGACATGACGACCTTGCTTCCTTGATGTTGGTAGAAACTTATGGTCTCTTTCCCAGGGTTTAGGTTTAGGGTTTTTATCCAAAATATTTACCACCTAAGTTTAATGGCGTTAAAATATATAGGCAAAAGCGTGACGTAAATGTAGGACTTTTTATTAAGAAAAGAGTTATTCGAAAATATGCTGTGATTGCTGACATCTTAGGCAACAAAGAAGTGTGTGTTAACGCTTTATTATAATAGTATAGATTTATTTCTCTTACATTAATCTGTATTATTATAATGTAAATAA